GCATGGGTGCGAACAGCGCTGGGGGGGAGCCTTCTCACCCGAAATGGCGATGCGCAGTGCTTAGACTAGGGAGCATAATAGACCCACAATCCAAAAGTGTTTCATTCATTTCATTTTGTAGTTCACTGCGAAATTCGGTTTTGTCCTGACATGTGTATGACTTGCCACGGACGTACTTGTGCATGTCCCAAGCAACGGGTCATGATAGAAGAGAGCCGACAGTACCCCGGGATAGTCGTCATCTCCCCCAAAGAGCTTCTGCGTGCTCGTGTTTCACTGCAAACATGGCATATTTAAGCCTTGGCCGCAGCTGTCGCGCGCGCACATTTGGTTCAGGGCGCAAGCTGAGACCTGTATTGGCTAAATTGACAAGGGTTGGGCAAGCCCGCCTTGGATGCATGGCAGTGAACCCGAGTGCGCGGGGCCGCTAATATTGGGACAGGCAATTCAGGTAGGCTTCTATTGGAGAGCGTGGATGGTGATCTCGGATGGCAAAATACGCATTTCGGCGGCTCGGTCAGTGAGACAGCGAGCAGGCCAAATTGGAAGCTCTGCCGCCGTATTCTCCTCCAAGACTGGTTGGACATGGATGGTCTCAATTTTATTGTGCTTTTCGTTCATTCCCGTGGACAATTAGACAAGGGCCAGTCGGCCACTTGACAGGTGAAGATATATGTTCCAGGACCCAACGGACTCTTCCATGATCCCGCGATGCTGGGATTCATCGAAAAGAGGCAGCCGGCCAAGGAAACTTAGTACTTTGGTCTGGTGGTGACGTTTCGCTTGTCAAGAGCCGCGCAACCTTGCCAAGGATATGCCAAGGAATGAGGTAGCTTGGCGATGAGGGTCCCGCTGGAACCGTTGTGTTGGGGAAGACGAACAGAATGGCCCCCTTGAAAGGGCATCTACGCGAACGATGGTGGCAAGACGGCTTCTCTCTGTCGAAAGGATCAGAGGGGAACCGCTTGAGGCACGGGGGTAACCCCGCTACGGAAGCGACGGAGGTGAGGGATATCCGTCCGGCTGGCAGAATCGGAACCAAAGTCGACATCGAATAACTTGCCTCATTGGATACAGGCTCGCAAGCATGGGGTTCCGTCGCCATTGGAAAGCCCGAGAAGCTTTAGCTGGCCAGCTGAGGTGTCCGTCTGCCTGCTCGTGTGCCGCCCTCAAGAATCAGTTCGAGAACGTAATGTCATGAACCCTGATCCCCCTTTGATCAAATCACCAGAGAACGACACGTCTTAGACAGCAAGTATCTGCCCTGACAATGATTTCAACGGTCAGCGACCTGTGCCATGATGGGAGAAGAGAGTAGACTATCGCTGGGTCTTACAACACAGACGAGGTAGTGTATGCAAGTTGCTGTCGAGCAAGCATTAGGAAGAGTTCGGTCCAATCCGACCCCGCCCCCCCTTGTAAGCTTTCTCTCCTCAATCCCTCCACCCCCTTGGACCTGGGGTTCGAAGCTTGCCCCTCCCTCCATCCACTCGCCTCTTCTGATGCCATGTTAAGTGCGCCATAAAATCCCACCTCGGCCAGATACGATACATGCGCCGATGCTGTGGATGTCAGCATGGAGCAGCGGAAGAAGACACAATACCTTGGTGCAACTCTTCGATGCTTTTTGTGCACCTTCTTCGTAGGCCTGTGCGACTTGATAGCATGACGCTGGGTCCTTGTCCCTGCTGTGCCACCAACTGGCTGACTGGCATCTGTTGGGAAT